CACCCCCACCCCCCTGCATGCTCTCCCCACCTGGAGCCCCCGTCTCAGCCAGGAAGGCTGGTGTCCTGGGCCAGTCTGACCGCTGTGCTCTCCGCCCTCCGTCCCTCTTCCCCAGCCTCCCCTGAAAAGCCACAGCTTGAAATCCTACGGTTTCCTGCTTTGGAGCCTCTTCTGCTCAGTCTCAGGGGGACAGGGGTTCCTTCCAGCTCACCCCAAATAGAAGAGGCCTAAAGGGGACATGGCGACCAATCGCCTGACAGAAGGGGACGGGACACACCTTCAGCGACTGGAGAAATCTGAAGGACTTCCGCTGGATGTCAGTGAGGTACCCGGGACGTAGCCCTCCAGGCTCCTGCTGACCTGTGGAGAGCAGGGGAGGGGAACAGCTGAGTGCAGGCCACCCTCGGGCGTGCCCTGCTCAGCATCAGCGCTGGGCACAGAGCGGGGAGTCCAGGCCAACTCATGGGTCTGGGCTGCCTGACCGCACACCAGGCTGCAGCCCCTGGGGAAGGAGACAGACACTGTTGCACGGCCTGGACGTCCCAGACTCCCTCTGCCTGCCCCATCCGTCAGGGCCACACCCCGTGGATCAAAGACCCAGGTCTGCAGAGATGACAGGGGCCAAAACATGCGCTTTGCCTCCAGACAGACCTCACACGTTACGCGTTCACCAGGTGACCTGGAACAACCCACTGGACCGTCAGAGCCTCTGTGGGAAACGGAGTTGCCTGCTCCCTGGCAGTGAGATGACTTAATTAACACGTGCTCTTCAGCAGTGGCTGTTAGCGTCCACTCGTGATGATCGTGGTGGGGGTTGGGGTGGACATCAACGCAGAGGCACAGGTCCTGGGCTGGCCCAGAGTGTGGGAGTGAGACCCTCAGCCTCTCCCCGGGTTAGGAAGTCCCCAAGGGCCGTGGAGGGGACTCTCTTTCCCTCTGGTGGCCCCGAGGCCCAGCTCAGGCCCTGCATGCTGTTGGTGCTCCTGACGCTGCCTCTAGGGGTGACTCCATGGTTGGAGGGGTGGCGAGTGTGCCCTTTCCTCCACCCCCCACCCCCCTTCTTGGCTGGTTCCTGATGAGAGCTGGCAGAGGGGGGCAAGGGCGGTCGGCTCACTCCCTGGGGGCAGGCCCGCTGGTCTGAGGATGGCAGAACCCTCCCGGTGACTCTCCGATGAGCTCCCCGGTCACTGCTGGCGAGCGTGCAGACAACAGCACCCTCTCCTCTGAGCTCTCCTTCCCACGGTTAGAGCGGATGAAGAGCTGGGAAGGATAGCTACCCCAGTTCCTGGGCGTCTCCATGGCAGCTGGGAAACGGGGAGGCACCCGGCCAGATGAGACGCAGGGATCTGGCCACGTAACGTGCACTGAGCATCTGGGGTGCTCGGGGGGCCCTCTCCTCCTTCCAGCCAACTGACCTCCATGAAGACACTTAGGAATTGATTTAAAGTGTCCGTTCTGAGCTGAAGTTCCCTCGAGAAGGGAAAATGCCCTCTTGCTTTGGCTGTGGGGCCCTTCCGAGAAGCTGATGCTATAGAAGGTGCCTGGTCCCCACCAAGCTGGCCGCCGCTGACCTGAGCTCCCGCTGACCCTCCTCCAGGCACCTGAAAGCTTCAGAGGCCGAGGCCCCAGCCCTTCAGCTCGAGGAGGCGGAGCTCCTGGCCACCTCTGGCCGTGCCAGCGTCCCTGACAGGTCACCAGGGAGGCATGGGCTGAGCTCTGAGCTGTGACCCAAGAGAAAGCAAGCTGTCCCTGACAGTGGCGTGGCCCTGGTTGGCCAAGCACCTGGCAGCCCCCAGAGTCACCCCACTGAGCAGAGTGTGACACTGGCTTCACTCCCCAAATCCCTAACGACAATTGGTGAGGAACCCCAAGAACTCAGCACCGCACACCACCCCAAAGTGCCTGGTAGCTGAGCAGCCAGTGACAGGATTTAATAAATGCTGTTATTATGGCTGATGATTATGATGACGACGAGGTGACCTCTCAGTTCTGGGGTCGGGGCGTCATGGCCTCGCACCCCAGTGAGGCTGGCAGGACGCCCGTCCTGGGTGGGAGAGCCACTGAGCACTTTGCTGCCCAACACAGCAGCCGGCGGCCACACGCGCTGCTTCCGTGTACACTTAAATTGAAAGTCACCCTTCAGTCGCAATGGCCATGTTTCATGTCTAGGTGGCTGGCCACATGTGGTTGGTGGCTGCCATATTGGAGAGCTCATAACTGAGAACATTTCCCTCTTCCCAGAAGGTTTTTCTGGACCATGTGGTGCTAGGTATTTCGGTCTAGAAAGTTCTGTTGGGCAGTGCTGGTCGAGGTGTTTGAGACCGGAAAGTTCTATCAGACGGCGCTGTTTCCACTTGTAAACACTGGAGCTGACTGACTCAGAGCCAAGTTTGAGTCCCCACTCTGCCGTTTCCTGGTTGATGATAATGGTGCCTCTGTGAGCATCAGGCTCCTTGTCCACGGTCACGAGGATGGGACCAACCCCTGAGGCCCAGTGAGACTGAGACACCGTGTGTGACACACAGCGCCTGGCCCAGGGGTACTCAGGGTGCCCCCCCACACGACAGGTGTTGTTCCAAGGGCCAGGGCTGCGATGAGAACCAGACCCTCAAGTTCTCGTGGCCCCCAGAGACAGATGCACAAACATGAGAGGGACGGCCATACAGCAGGCCACAACGGTGAGTGGCAGCAGCTGACTCAGCCTGGGTGTTATCTGGGAGGCTTCCTGGAGGCGGTGTCTGACATGAGCCTGGTACAGGCACTTGGGGTTTTGCTCACTGCTTGGTTTCTGGCTACCTGATATTCTGCTCTCAGCCACTCCCCGCAGAAGTGGCTCCGGTTTCAAATGATGCTTCAAGGCTGCCTGTAGCCTCAGGATAAAGAGATCCTGTCAGAGAATTCCAGTCGCACAGCAGACGGGTGGGCCCTGCCCCCGCCATAAAGGCAGCTGGGACTCAGCCCTCTCACGCAGGAGGGACTGAGACCATCGCCCAACCTGCTCCCACCTCCTGGAGAGGAGGTAGCCTGGAGGCAGAGCCAGGGAGAGGAGCAGGTTTTTCTAGAAGGCCTGGCACCTGGTCTGCTCAGCTTCAGCCTGTGGAAGCTGCCAGGCCCCAGCCAACAGCTTGCAGCTGCGCCCAGACCAGACCCTAGAGGCTTCAGGACGGACGTTCTCAGATGGGTGAGGCAGCTCTGCCCAGTGTCCTTTCTCTGGAAGGATTATCAGGTGTGGGTGGGGGGGGTGCAGCCTCCAACCAGTCCCCCCTTTGTCAGGATGTCTGTGACCTGGCCCTTCACCCAGCTGAGAGGCACCTGGGGGTGGGGGCGGCTGCAGAAGGGGCTGCTGGCGTCTTTCTCGTCTCTCCTTGCCCTGGCGCCCAGGCCACCCACTAAATGCTCCCCGAGGGAATGAATTAGTGAAAAAGCTCACGCCATCCAGAACCCTGATTTGTGGTCCACAATTCAGGTATTTTGTCCTTTCAACCAGTGACTGGTGCTTTTCCCTTTGGGATGTCGGGAGGGTGCCCTTCTCTGCCCCAGGCTCTGGTCTCAGGCTCCTCAGCATGGGTTCCAGGCGGGGCTGCCTGCCCCCCTCCCCAGATGCCATACCACCTCCCGGCCCACCATGCATGGCAGACCCAAGTACCGGGAAGGCAGGCAGCTGCGCTGTGCGTCCCTCGGACCAAGTATCAGTCACAACAGAGATGTGGCAAGAGAACAGAGTAAGCATCTGGGACCCAACGCCTCCAAAACACTTTAATACTGAAGCGTGGATGCTCTCCACATAGAAAGGTACCTCTCTACACCCGCAGGACCTCGCTGGAGTATTGGGCAGTGGAAGGGGTCCCCGGAGGAACTCCTTGGCCACCCGACCAGCCAGCCCAGGGCCTGTCCACAGGCTTGCCCTTACCGCAGCTCTGCACGGTCCAGGGCGCGACCAAGTCTGCCCCTCTGGCCGGCGGTGTCTCCTCCAGCCACAGGGAGCCGCAGGTGGGGTCCGGTGGGGCTGGCACCCTGTGTGAGCTGGGGACATGCAAACACACATGTGAGCAGGGTGGAGCAGTGAATATCATGCAGGAGGAGGCAGCTAGCAGGGCTGGGCCTGGGAGTCTGGGCTCCCTCGGCCAGGAGAGCTCTCAGACCCACACTGACCGAGGCAGGAGCCAAAGTCTAAAGACCCATGAGAGATGGGCCTGTGACCAGAGGACCAGGGGGGCTGTGGTGAGCAGGTGGGACCTGAAGATGCCGACACCCGCAGTGTCCCCTAGCTTGGTGGGGCCTCATCTGAGAAGCAATGGCTCGGGGCTCTGCACTCAGACCCAGAGGGCCAGCAGCTCCGCAGGCGCGCGGGCCCCCGAGGCTCAGCTTCCATGGTCACCTAGGGCTGCTGGGGCCGGGACAGAGTGACCTTTGCCATAGGCCACCCCTGCCCTGACGGGCTGCGCTTGTGGCAGCAATGCACACAGCCCGCCTCCCTTCATGTCCCTCCTTAGGGCATATGGCTGTCCTTCCTGGCACACCGCAACCCAGGGCCTGCTCCAGTGACTAAAGATGCCGGCCACACCTGTCGCCATGGAGATGGGGGTAAAAGGGGACTTGGCCCTCCTCCAGCAGCCCGCAGGGGTTTATCAAGCACCTGCTGTGTGCCAGGTGCCCGCCACCCAGCCCCCGTCCCCACAGCTCAGAAAGAGGGAGCAGCCCCTCCCTGTGGCTGAGAGAGAGCTGCTGAGGAGGCCACTGACAGGCCTGGATGACCTGGGGATGCTGGGGTGGGGGCACCCCAGGAGCATGGCCCCATGAAGGGAGAGGAAGGATGGAGTTCCTGCAGGCTCTTCCCCAGGCTCACGCTCGCTCTCTCTTTCCAAGCCCTGAACTTGGGGTGCCAGCTTCACCAAGTGGGTCAACGGACGGCAGAAAGGAGCCATCTCCTCAGAGGCTTAGTTAAAAAGAACGCCATCAATGGCCATAAGCCCGGGTCTCCCTCGGCTATTGAGAGCAGGGTCAGCAAACATTTCCCATAAAGGACCAAACGATAAATAGTTACATTCTGTGGGCCACTTGGTCTCTCTCTGTGGACAGGACTCAGCTCTGCCCTCACAGCATGAAAGCAGCCACTCTCACTATGTAAAAGTGAGCGTGGCCATGTGTCAATAAAACTTGATTTACAAAAATAGGTGGTGGGCCGTGGGGGTTGTGGCGCGCTGACCCCTTGGTCCAGACTTTCTAGGGCAGTTGTCCTGAAACTGCAGTGGACCACAGTGGACCCTGGAGGACTTGTGGAAACACTGACCACGGGCCTCCCCAGTGCGTCACATTGAGGAAGGCTGGGTGGGCCTGGACTCTGCATTTCTAACGAGTTCCCAGAGAATAGCTAAAGCACCAATGGACTAGGGAATGGACCGAGTGGAGAAACCACGGGCTTTTGAGTGCAAGCCCTGGTCTGACCCTTGGCCTGCCCTCCCATGAGCTATGTGACCTGAGCAAAGTCCCTTCTCCTCTCTGAGTCTCAGTTCTCCTGTCTGTAGAATTGGGGTGAGAGCACCTCTCCTGGAGGTGCTAAAAGCTGTACATGAGGTTCGGGGAGCCTGCAGAGAGCGGGGCACCCCCCCCACCTGAGGATGGGGCATCCTGGGGCCCAACCCAGCATCCTTACACACAACGCTGGTGACAGGATGGTCCCCACCCTGCACTGAGCGCTGTGGTCCCAGCAGGGAAAGGATGGGGCAGAGGAGGTCGTCCTACCCCAACTCAGAAACGGGCCTCAGAGGGGAGCTGTGGGTTTCATCCTTGGACCCGGACAGCGGGTAAGGTGACCAGGGGCATCACTGCAAAGCTGCAGCCCTGTGAAGCAGTGGGTGGGACTGCTGTTTAAAAGGAGCAGCCTAGGCACCTTCCCTGGATGCCTCAAGGAGCCAGCAAGCCCCTGGGCCCGATCCCCATGCTCCAGGCACGCTTGTGAATGACTGCCACCTCTGCCTGTAGGGCCTGGTCAGGGCTGCAGGGAGGGGGCAATGCAGTGCCCGGTGAGAAGGCCCAAGGTGGGAATGTCCCAGAGGCCACACGCCCTCCACCCTTCTGCTCTGAGACCTACTGAGGCTGGCCCACGGGGCCTTGCTGGCCATCCGGCAACGGGCTGTACAGATGTAGAGGGTCCACCTTGGAGCCTGGGACCCGGAAGCTAACCTCTGGAGGCAGCCCCAGCCCTTCTGACGGGTAAGTGGGGTGTGTGTGCAAAGAAGTCCAGCCCAATGCTGCCCCCTACTGGCGGCAACAATCCAGTTCCACCAACCGGACTGAGGCTGGACTGTGGGTGGGATGGGGGGCAAGATAAAACTCACCCCAAAGGACCAAACACTCACCTCCCCCCACCATTGAGGTCCAGGAGGGTGGGTGGGGATTCCCGGGGTGATGACCAGGGAGGCATGCAGGCAGGGAAATGTCCCTGGAGGGGAGGGGACGGGTTGAAGCGGTATTGGGAGGGTTACTCCCCCTTCCAGGTGGGTACATCATCTCCCCATTTCCTAGGAGGACTTAGGCTGGCAGGAGCATGTGACTTTGCTCAAGACCAACAGCTCGAAGCACAGGCCTGGGATTTGCACTGGCCCCCCCTCGGGGTCCCCTGGGGCAGCTCCATGTAGAGGGGGTGTCAAGCTCTTTATTCCCAGAGATGAGCCCACCCCCATTTGTATTCCTCACTGCACAGCTGCCCCGACCGCGGTCTCCACCCTCCCTTTCAGCTCTCCACCCTCTAGCCAGCCCCCGAAGTCCCCTAACCCAAGCGCCAAGCTAGGACAGACCAGGAGAGCGGGTGGTGAGGAGCCCCTGGCATCCGTCCCAGGCATTCCGGGTGGGCTCTGGCTGACACTGACAGGGGGCAAGGCCAGCCCCCGGAGACTGCTCACCGGCCTGGCCCCCTCTGGAGCCCCCCTTTCCCTTGGCTCTGGGCTGTCAAGCCTGGGGTCCTGGAGGATGTGGGAGACGGCTGCCTGGGGAGGGGCTGCTGCCCCAGGGTGCTTCAGTCCCAGGGCAGACAGGTGAGAAGGGCCAGGGTGGGACGGACGCCCCTCCTGAGAGGGAGTCAGGGCTGAGAGGGGCTGAGGGCACAGAACAGGGACACAGGCTATTGGGGGGACATGAGCTGGAGGACAGAGGGACAGGAAGTGACAGCAAGTGGACCAGTGGGGAGCATGGCTGGGGCTGCAGGCTCTGGGGTCCTGGGGTGAGGGTGGGGACCGCAGAAGGTCCCGAAAACCAAGCCTTGGCTGGTCTTCTATGTGCAACTGGGTCCCGTGTCCCCTGGGAAGACACCTGTGTGAAGTGGTTCCCAGAGAAGGTCACAGCGGTGCTGGACGTGGAAGCCACAAGAAGGTGCAAGGGTCTGTGGACTCAGACACGGACGTGGGACATGGATGGGGGACAGCCTGCATCAATGTCCCCGGGACATGATCAGCCTTCCAGTCACACCAATGACACAGGAAAGTGTGGCCAACAGTGTCTCCCTGGGGCCCAGAGCCAATGCAGGGAGGGTGGAGGGGAGTGCAGCCCAGGCTGCTGGCTCATCAGCAGGGCCCTGAGTCAGAGGCCCACTGCGCCCGAGAGCCACTGCGTGAACAGGGCCTCCTGCCCTGCCTGGCCAGTGTCCCAGCCAGCACAGGTGGGTCAGGAGCTATGTCACTCCCGTCAGGCCTGGGTACATCCAGACTCCTGGCCCTGGCCAGTGTGGGCCGTGCGCTGGGTGCATGAGAGGCAGCTGCACTGCTAGCAGCACGTCCCAGACGCACGGGGTGCTCGTGGCTTACCTCCCTGCGAAGGGGCGAAGGGCCTGGAATGAAGCTGTGTTTCTCGCCAGCCACTCATCCAGCTCCAAACGTCCAGCATCCATGAAACCTCGGAGAAACGGGCACCAGGACTTTGTTTCCCAGGCGTCAGCATGAGGGGAGGGGCTGCCGATAGTTGGGGAACGAGGGAGGGGCCCCCACCCCCTCGGTGCCTCGCCCAGGTGCTTCATCCTGCTTTCTTGCCCGTCTTCGGGAAGCAGAGCAGGGAGGTGTCAGGCACATAAGCCTTGGGACCAGGCTGCACCCCTCCTCCAGCCAGAGACAAGACGGTGACAGCAGCTGTGGCTGACGGAAAATTTAGAATGTGCCATTTGCTGTGCCAGGATGGTCACCTCAGTCACCTCCTCAAGTGGCCTGGACAACAACTGTTGTATTGTCACTATATTTATTTTTAGGGGGAAGAAACTGAGGGGCAGGGAGAAAGTGGGGTTTTCTTGGCCATCAATGGGGCTGGCAGTCACCTATGGCCCAGGTGCTGGCCCTACCTCGGGGCTTGCTGGCGAGATGGTCCCTCGAGCTCACGCTCCGCCGTGCCTCCCAGCTGGGGCTCCACCGTGGCGTCTCTTTGTCCAGTAAGCAGGTGGGAGAGAGAGGCTCCTGGGCCTGCATGTCTGCCCAGTCCCAGGGAGCCCCTCTGTCCCCACTGGGCACCAAACCTCCAGGGCAGGCTAGGGCTCCAGATGTGGTGGCCACAGGCACGGAGCTGGGGCGCGAGGGCAGAGTGTCCAAGACCAGGTCCCCGAGAGTGTCCGCTGCCTCAGACCTGAGCAGCTTGGCGGTCAGGATGTCAATCCGCTGCTTCAGGATGTTGGCCATGGTCTCCAGCGCCTGCAGCCGGGCCTGCTTGTACCGGAAGTGCAGGGGGCCTGGCGTGCCGAGGCGCTCGGCCTCCTTGGGGTCCAGGTAGATGCACAGACCCGGGCATGGGGCATGGGTGGTCAGGCCCTGGAGCTTCGGGGGTCCCAGAGAGCCCCTGGAAGATGTCAGCAGGCGAGTGCCATCCCAGCCTTCCTGGGGGCCCCCCGTCTCCAGGGTCTTGGCACAACTCAAGGCTCTATTCAAACACAGGCAGAAGCTGCAGGGAGAGGGTGCGGAGGGTCAGGCCTAATGCCACGTCTCCAACGGCGTGTGTGAAACATGCACATGCAGGGATGGGCGCAGCAGCGGCGTCTGTGACAGACCCAGGACCTAGTCACAGAGTCTGTTTACGGCCGCGAGACTGGATACAGAGCATCCGCGCATGACTATTAGCAAGAAAAGGACGACTGGCGATATTTCTTGGATGTGACGCCCAAAGCACAGGCGACGAAAAAACTGACAAATTGCACTGCTTCAAAATTGAAAATTTCTGCACCTCAAAGGACACAATCAACAGCATGAAAAGGCAGCCCAAGGAATGGGAGATCTTTACCAACCATCCATCTCACAAGGGTTAAAACCTAGAATATGTAAAGAACACCTACAAATCAACAACAAAACCCCAAAGAAGCTGGTTAAAAATGGGCAAAGGACTTGAACAAGCATGAGAGATACCACCTCACACCCATTATCATGGTGTGATTGTAAAACACACCAGAAAACGACAAGTGTTGGTGAGGATGTGGAGAAACTGGAAGCGTGTCCAGCGCCGGTGGGAATGGGAAGTGGTGCCGCCATGACGGAAGGCGGTATGGCGGCTCCTCCAACAGTTAGACACAGAGCCACCATGTCACCCAGCAACCCCACGTCTGGACATTTATCCAAAAGAAACGAAAGCAGGGACTCGAACAGGTTTTCATACCCTCACGTTCACAGTTGCACTTATTCACGAGAGCTAAAATGTGGGAGCAACCCCTGTGTCCACTGACAAAGGACCGGATAAACCAAACGGGGTCCCTACACACGGTGGAGTGTCACTCAGCCCTGAAAAGGAAGGAGGTCCTGACACCCGCTACCACGTGGATGGACCCTGGGGACACTGAGCTCAGTGAAATGAGCCCGTCACAGAAGGACAAGTCCTGTAGGTCCCCCCACACACACAGGAGGTCCCCAGAGGAGTCAGATCAACAGACACAGGAAGTAGCTGGTGGGGGCCGGGGCTGGGGAGGGGGTGGGAGTGAGTGTTTAATGGGGACAGAGGGTTACTTTGGGGAGATGAGAAAGTCCTGGAGATGATGGAGGTGGTGGCCGCACAACAGTGTGACTGCGCCTAGTGCCACTGAGCTGTGAACTTAAAACTGGTGAAGATGGTCCATTTTCTGTGTATTTTCCCTAAATTTTTTTAAAGTGAAAAAGAAAGCACACAACTAAGCAAGAAGGAGGACCGCAGCCTCCTGCAGCCACAGGAATGACCCTAGCATGGTGTCAAGACATCCAGGACCCTCCATTGGCCTTTCCGTTGAAGGTGGGGTGGCCCTTGGGGGTATTGCCAGTTTCTCGGTCCAGGGGTGGGTTACACGTGTGCTCAGCGTGTGAACGTCCATTGAGCGGCACACCCAGGACCTGGTCCTTGTCGGGATGTCACCAGATGTCAACTTTAAAAAGTTTTCAAATGCAGGCCCCTGGGCTGCCCTGTGGACCCAGAATCTGGGGAGCAGCCCAGGAATGTACACTTTTAAGACAAAAGGGAGGGCCGGCTGAGTGGCTCAGTTGGTTAAGAGCTCGCTCAAGAGTTTGAGCTCTGAGCAACAGTGGTTCGAGTCAGCCCGAGCTGAGCAGCCGTGAGCTGCCAACAGGTGGCGGGATGGCTCAGCTAAAAAAAAAAAAAAAAAGACAAAAGGGAGCCAGACAGAGAAACTTCTAGGGGCCAGGGGAGGGGTCTCCATCCCACCTGGGGTGTGAGGTGTTGCAAAGAGGACTGGGAGCTGAGCAGCCAGGGGGTCCACCCGAAGCCCCCTCCCAAGCATGGACTGCCAAAGATGCATCCAGGACCAGGTCGGGAGCGAGCCAGGGTAGGAGGCACCTGGTGGGTGGCATCTTGAGGGGGCCCCTCCTCAGCCTCCTGCCACGAGCTTCCTCCTCAGCCTGACTCTGAGCTCCTTGTCACACCTCCCTCCCCGCTTCCTTGAGCAGCTGGCACTGTCCTGAGGCCCACGTGGCATTCCACAGAGCCCTTCCCGGGTGAGGGCAAGCGCTGGGAAGGTGGCCTTAGTGAGAGGTAACGGTCTAGCCTCCCAGGCAAAGTGGGGGGAGGTCTTTCAACCCTGTGCTTCCAGGTGCTGTGGGGGTGGGGGCTTGTGGACAGCTGCCCCAGCAACATTAGAACACACGGTAGTAAAAATAAAACAAAAACAAAAGCAAGGGAGGAAAAACCCAGAAAATAAGTGTTGGCAAGGACGGGGAGAAACTGGGCTCCGACACTGCCGGCAGGAGGCAAAACGGTATGGCAGTTCCCCCAAAAGTTAGGCGTAGCGTTACGTGGCCCGGCAATGCCACTCCTAGCATCTACCCAAGAAATGTCCGGACCATTCACTCTCAGCAGCTCTGTTCACAACAGCCCCGGGGGAACACAGCCCAAGTGTCAGTCCACTGCCCGTGCATGAACCAAGTGTGTCCCAGACAGCGGGACAGTGCGGGGCCACAAACAGAAACGACGTCCACGCACACGCTACAGCGGGATGAACCTAGACGACGTGCTCAGTGCCAGAAGCCAGACACCACAGGCCGCGTGTGGTAGGGTCCCTTTATATGAAATGTCCAGGTGACTCCAGAGACGGAAGGCAGGCTGGGGACGGGAGAGGCTGGGGGAGGAATGGGGAGTCACTGCTAATGGGGCGGGGTTTCCTTTGGGTGATGAAAGGTTCTGGAACTGGACAGAGGTGCTAGTCATGCAATATTGTGAATGTGCTCAACACCACTCAAGAGTTCACATAGAAATGGTGAACTTGATGCGATGGGAATGTCACCCCAATGGATTCTCAGGCTCTGTGCAGCACTGGGTGAGGAAGCTGCCCTGCCCCCAGGAGCCCCACCCAGGAAGTGCAGCTCCTCCTCCCCTCCCCCACCACCTGCACACCCACCTGCCCGGGGCCTCCTGGTCCCCCAGCACCATGCCGGAAGTCACCTTGCTCCACTGCAGCATGGGCGAACCCAGGTTCCCAGGGGCCTCCAGGTCCTGAAACAGAGGAGAACGCAGTCAGAGCCCCACTCCGGGCCAGAATACCGGCATCCTGTCCAGCCTCAGAGCTGGCCCCGGCCTCCACGGAGGTCTCAGGCTGGACTCCTCGAGGTCCCCTCTTTAGGGACTGGACAAAGGCAATGGGGTCCCTCCAGAGCCCCACTGTACCTAGGGAGGCAGACATTTGGGGACTCGGGGAACGGGAGGCAGTGGCCAAGCTGGCCAGCACCCCATCTGCACCCCAGTGCATACCCGGGACTGTGCAGAATGTGGGACAAAAGTCACGATGCCGGGGGTTGTCTGGGAGACCACGGGGAAGGCTTTGCTGGGGATCACTCTGCCAGGGTCAGCTCTGCCCAGGACGGCCTCCCTCTGCTTCCTGTAGACGTCCTGCAGCCGCTGGTTTCTCAGCTCCAGTGCCCGCATGGCCTTGGCCTTCTCCTCCAGGGCCTGCTGCCTCCGTGCCAGCGTCTTCTGGCGCATGAACTCCCGCAGGCACTCGAAGCTGTAGGGGTGGCCCAGGAACCCCCGGAGCTTCGGGCAGGGGGCCGGTGGCCGGGCCTCCTTCTCCTCCCCAGGTGCGTTCTGAGGGGCGCTCCGGGTGGGCCTCGGCGAGGTGTGCTTCGCTCCCGAGGGCGTCAGGAGGGAGCCTCTGTCCTTGGACGGGGTGCCAGCCCTCTGTGTGAAGGAGGCGCTCCGGGGCCACTGGGCGGGAGGGCTTGGCCTTTCCAGAGGGTTCCATGGTCCTCGGGCAGGGGCCTCCCAGTCTTCACAAGCAACCCGGGTCCTCTGCCCAGCTGAGGCGCTCCAGGGCCGCGAAGGGAAGTAGGTCAGCCTTTCAGGGGGGCTCCTGGGTCTCTGGAAGGAGGATTCCCATCCTTGGGCTGACCTTGCCATCTGCGGATAGGACCCCCACCTGGCCAAGGTGCTCCCATCCCTCTCTAAGGAGGGGTGCGTCCCCTCCATTGTGGCCGGAGAACTCTTTGAGAAGGATCCCCGCACATTGGGGGCACTCCGGGGGCCCTGGTGCCTCCTCCCTGTCAGATCCCGTGGCCACGGATTCGATGGCCGGCGCTCCTGCCCTCCCCTGAGCTGCCGGTCTTGGGCCAACTCCAGCCCTGCCTGGATTTGCTGGCGGAGTTCTCTAAGGATGGCCATGGCAGACTGGATGGTCGCGGGCTGGTTGCAGGAAGCCAGGCTGGGTGTGCTGGCAGGCACCTGCGAGTCACTGCAGACAGAGGCTGGACTGGGCATCCGGAGACGCACTGGGGAGCTCTCAGCAGCTCCAACTTTCTTGCTGTCTCCTGCAAAGACAGGTAGTCACAGGGGCAGCAGGACCTGCTGGGTTCAGGGAGGAGCAGAGCCAGCTCCCCTCCCAGAGGCGCCCGTGCTCCTGCTCCAGGGAGACCCCTCTTGGCCTCTGCACTCATCATCAATTCAAGGAAGCCCTCAGGGACAGGTGCCACGTCTGTGTGACTCGAGGCTGTGCCTGGGCATCTGGTGGGAGTCCCTGCTGGCTCTCACCCTGTGTTCCCTAAATTGGGGAAACCTAGATGGCTGTACCCTGTCTCCCAGGGGCCAAAAGGTTGGCTCTCAGGGGCAGAAATTCTGTTGTTAGGCTTTTAAACATAGTGGTTTCCCAAACTCTCCCGTCTGATGGCAGTTTGGAGGGCGTTTGACAGGGCGCTGGGCGAGAGGCGCTGCTCCCGCACCCCGATGACACCTCCTTCCCAGGCAGCCTGGGGACCTGGACTCTCTCCCTCTGTGACCACCCCCAGATGCCACAGCAGAGCAGGGTGGAGCCCAAGGCGGAGGCACAAGGTACCTAATTCTGCGGTTGGGGCCGGGTCCCTTGAGGGTGCCTTGCTCTGGAGCCTGGGGAGGGCGGGAAGGGGCCCAAGCAGCACCCTCGCCAGAGCTCGTCCTCTCCTCCAGGCGTAAACACCAACCAACTCAGAATCTTAAACAGAGAAAACATGCAGCCTGGGCCGAGGCCCTCAAATGCAGCCCAGATGGGGAGGTTGGCGGCTCTACAGCCCAGGAGACCAGTTCGCGTGCTCCCAGAGGGGCTCGGGGAGAAATCCCCCTGGTCCAGGCCCCTCTGGGGCAGAGCCACACCGTCAGCCACCGGCCAGCCAGAGGCAGGGCTGAGTCCTCGGATGACCTGACTTCTCTGACTCTCTGTCTCTTCTTCAGTAAACAGGGAAAATAAAAGCCATTTCCTATGGCTTTGTCTATAAAACCTCAACACAGGCTCAGGCACGTGGCATGTGCTCAGTAAATGCTGGCTAATAATAATAATAATAATAATAATAATAATAATAATAATAAGCCACCAGACAACAGTGCTCATTTGCACTGAGCTGAAGTAAGTTAATCTGTTTTTAAGCAGATGAGACTCGATGAATGACAACAGGGGGATCAACAGAGATGCCTAGGCTGGCAGGATGAGGGGTCCTAGAGAGTGCAGCCCAAACAAACTTTCTTTAGTAACTGTTGTCACACAATAAACATCATTTATCAAGGTTTTACTTCATAATCCCGGGTTACACTCACCAAATGCCAATATCAGCCCCCGATCATTACAAACCCCATCCACGAGGGCCCCGGCGGAGGCAGGAGGCAGCTGCCAGACTGTAACTCACACATTCACACACACACACACTCACACACGCACACACACACATTCACACACTCACACACTCTCACGCACACACACGCACACTCACACACACATACTCACACATGCACGCACACTCACACTCACACATTCACACACACGCACACTCACACACACGCATGAATGCACACAGAGACCCACACAGGCACCCACGCACACGCACACACACGCTGCCCCTCCCCCGGGGCCAGCCCAGCGCAAACCACGGGGAAACAAGACAGCCCAAGCCAAAACTTGCCCTGCCCCTCGGGCATTTCTGCCAAGTGATGGTGCCTTACAGCAGAGACTATCCAGAGAGCTGACCACCCGGGGACAGGTGACCAGGGAGGGTCAGGGTCTCCCTAGCAACATGGCCCCTGGACATGGTCCCCTCCCAACAGCCCAGATCCAGAGCATCAGCCTCAGGCCTGAAGCTGCCGTTCCAGGAAGGGGAAGAGACCACACAGACCCATGCCCTCCAGAAGGCACCCCCCCTCCCCAGGAAGGACCCCTGAGGACACACCCAGCCCACACCTCTCTGGGCCAGGACACCAAAACCCTGCTTTCTTTAAGTCACATCCTTCATAAAGCCATGCTCCTCTAGGAACTGTCCCCCAGGGCTACGTCCCCATAAGGCATGCCCCAATAGGACTGACTGGGAGGCCACCTCCTCTCTAGGACACTCTAACAGCCCCCTCCCAGGGCCATGCCTTCCAGCCCCTGGCTCCTGGGGACACCAGAGGTTAAGAGCTTGGTCTTAGGAGTCCCAGGCCTGGGCTTAAATTCAGGCTCTGCTCATCACTAGCTGTGGACCTTGGGCAGGTGACGTAAGTTCTCTGTGCCTCAGTTCCCCATCTGTGAGCATCTCCCCACAGAGCCACACAGGTGAAAAAGCGGTCACTACCACTACAGGAGCTGGGCCTGGAAAGGTCAGGGCAGAGTCGAAGGCCAGGGCTGAGGCCAGGACTGCCCACCAGGCCCCCTCTGGCTTCTGAACGGGACCAGGCGCACCCCTGGGTCCTGCACACATGAGCCCCCTCCCTCCGCTGGGGCACTGGGTGGGGCGCCTGGTGGGGAGGGGCTGCTGTGGCCGGGCCCCACGCCCCCCCACCCGCAGGCCCCTCCTTCGCCCGGGCTCAGCTTCCGCAGCAGCTCGCCAGAGGGTGCAGGTCAATAAATGGGTCCTGATGGGCACATTTTTTCTTCCGCTGAGCAGTTTAATGGCAATTAATTTTTTTACGAGAGGATTTTTAATCTGTGGAAATGGATGAAGTCCCCAAGTGCCCTGTCAGAGTTCCAGGGCCGACCTAATCTATGATAAAAAATGCAAAGTGAGGTGATATAATCTGAAATTAAATATCGGGCTTCATTTTCCTCCGGCCGGATGGATGAATATTTTATAACTATTGTGATTTAATTTTTTGTTAACTACAGCAAATTTCTAATTCATCCAATTCCCAAGTCCTGTGACTCTGACCTCTGAGCCCACACTCATCTCTCCTTAGCCAGCTGTGACTTCGTCACTGACAGAAACTAATGGTCAGCGCCATCGGGCTGACACAGTGGTTACGATGATGAATGCGGCCCGTAGCGCGCCCTTTGACCCCGTGTCAGGCAGAAAGCAGGTCATTTTTCAAGTGAGCCATTAAAATAAAACAAACCAAAAAGATGAGGGAGGGGGCAGGCAACGATGCAGAAAATTGATATATTTTGTGCATTTTCAGTGGACCTTCCAGAACCTTCTCTGTGTCTCCCAGCATCCCTCACTCTCCGGTGGTAGTGGAGGTTCTCTCACCAGCTGACTGAGTGCGTCCGCCCCGGCACACGCAGCCCTGCCCGAGCTTCCCCACCTCACTCAGGGCCCAACAAGCAAGGCGTGGACCAGGAAGTGTGGTGACATGGGGCACAGCACACACCGTCCACTCCCCATCAGGACTGTCATCTCATGCCATGGGGGAAACTGAGGCATGGGGGTGCACGGGAGCAGCTCAAAAGCTGCACCCAAGCTCCGAGTACTCTTAGACTAAGGGTCCTGCAGAGTCGGCCTCAGTCCCACTGGGTAGGGGTTCTTCCCACGTGGGGGGCTCTCCGTGGTGTCCCCAACCCCCTTGGTACAGTGGTCCCAGAGCCCAGACCTGGAGGGCGGGCCTTGAGGAGGTACCAGGCATGGCCTCAAGTAGGCACTGCTCGACCCTCTCAGGCAAGGAGCACAGGCCTGGAGCAGGACGGGTCAGGGCCCAGCCCTGGCTCGCCTGTGTTGCACCCCTCTGAGCCTCAGTTTCCTCATCTACAAAATGTGAGCGAGCCAGCCACCTCCGAGGAGATGCCTGTAGAGTGCCTGGCATACACCAAGCTGGGCACTGAGCATGGCGCACTCACTCGGCCGCCGAGAGCGTTCTCGAGGAACATCCCAGAGGATGCTGCCTCCTTGGTCCCCACAAACCCACATGCAGCCTGAGGGCAGGGGTCCCTCTCAGGTTCATCCCACAAGCTCCACAAACCATACCCAGGCTGGCACCAATGCCCGTGAGGCCCCGAATTAGGAAATTCTCTGTGACTGCCAGCCCACCACCAAGACCACTTAACAGAACTCTGCCATCATCACACAAATGCTCGGCTGCGAGGCGGCACCAAGTCCCCAAAGGGGTCAGGGAAAGGACACTGCCCAAGGCATTACTCACCACCAGCGCTCAGGTGGGCTTGCTGCCTGAAATTCTCACTCCCAAACCAGGCCATAGGGAAGCTCATGTCCTCAACCAGACTTCCCGCGGCCGAAGGTGGCAAAACCCTGACAGCCCTGTAAGTGAGGCCGTGCAGCAAAACGCAGACCCATCTGTCAGCCACACACGCCACGGGCTGCCCACCGTCACACACGCCTGTCAAAGTGCCAGTGCGCTGCGAGTGGCAGGCGGAAGGCGTGCTGAAGCGAGGCCGAGTGCGTGTGTGCCTTTAGGTCGCTCCAGGGGTGGGACGGATGCACACGGGCATTGGCAGACTTCCTCTTCATCACAAGGGATGGCCCCCTGCATGGGCGGGACCCCCCTGCTGCTCAATGGTGGCCAGATTACACTTACCTGAGATGCAGACCCCAACGCTGCCCCTCCTCCGTGCATGGAGACCCCCCCCACCAAGCTCAGCCCCACAGGTCCCAGGTGCCCCCCCTGAACCCTGTGCACATGGGGCTCCAGGCGGCCGCTGGCCACCAGCCATCCTGGCACCGTGCGCCCACCTAGTGAGCCAGACGGTGAGCTCACATCCCCCAGCCCTGCCAGCCCCACGTGAGCCAACCTTACCCTTGTCTCTGGTAGTTCTTTTGGGGGTGGGCGACCTGGGGGCCTTCTCTCTTTTGTAAGAACTACTTTTCGGCCTTTTGGTTTTCTCCCGTGGAGCTTCAGGAGAGGAGAGGAGAGGAGAGGGGTGTGAGGGGGAGACGGTGGGCAGTAACAACACACAGGGGCTCCCCGGCCGGGCCCCCTGGAGTGTCAGGGCAGTCCCATCTGTTCCCTGCTCACGCACACCAGCGTGGGCAGCTAAGCGAGGGGCAGGTCGGGCGGCACACATGGCTGTCCGACCCTTTGCTGGGGATCCCCCTGCAGGACTGGGCATGCCACCCCCTCCTGCATGGCACACCCTGACTGTGCCCAAATTCCCAGTGTCTGGTGGCCGACAGCCCCTGAGAATAGGAACAGCCTCGCATCTGGTCTCCCGCACCCAGCTCCAGCTCAGGGATGGGCCATGGCACTCGTGTTTGTCGAATGAATAAATGACTGAATGGGTCCACAGGTGAACCCTTCACATAGCAGCTGGCTACACTGAACAACAAGGCGGGGAACGAGTGAGAGCCGGGGTCAGAGGGGCCTTTGTACAGCTGGGTCTACCCCTGGCAGAACGGTGGGGGAACATGGAGACTCAGAGCGGGCAGAGGTTGTCCAAGTCCCATGGTGAGCGCAGTGGCCCACCGGGGTGGAAAGCCAGCCAGTGACTGAGAGAGTGGGCCAAGCCCACCATGTCCCCACGTAGCTAGAGGCACATGGGACAAACTGACCCAAAGGACTCCCCAGGCCTCCAGTGTGACTGGGTCTTGGCCATGGCCTGTCACTTAGTCCTCAGTGCCCTGACCCTGCTGGCAAGAGGGGCCTCAAGACCCGGGGCCACACCTAAGGCCGGATACTATGTGATCCACTCACAGGAGGTCTCCTCCTCCATCTCCCCATCCTGCCTCGGAGCCAGCCTGCCCAAGCCACCCCACCCTGGCTCTCTGCCTAATGCCGCTGCCCTCTGGCCCCCAGGAGAAGCTCCCGTCCATCTGCGTCTCCATCCTCACCCCGCCCATCTGTGGAGTGAATGAATGAGCCAAACCCTAGTGGCTGCCTTGGCCCCTGGGCCCTTCCCCACCTGTCTGGAAGTCTGCCGACCCACTGCCAGCCCTTCAGCACCTCCTGAGCAAGGCAGGGCTGTGGCATGGCAGGGCCATCTGGGGAACAGGTGGGCAGCGCTTCCGGTCTGTAAGGTGGAACAGCAAACCTAGGGGCTGCAGGACCTCTGTGGCTGCCATGTGGCCGTGCAGGAAAGACCTCAACGCTCTGTGCGGCACATCTCGGTGAGGAGATGCCCCTGCCCAGGTCCCTGCCCTCTGAGCCCCAGCCTGCCCTGCAGGGCCTGCCTGGATCCCTTCCCTGCTGGGAGGCACAAGGTTAGAAGAGCAACTAGGTCCAAATCTTGGCTCTGCCCCTTCCTGGCTGGGGTCCCCTCAGATCCTGTGCCCTCATCTGTGCGTGGGGATTAATAATTGAGCCAGTCACATGGGGTAAGAGAGAAGCTGCATGGAGAATGCTGGAGCCAGAACTGTGCTGCCCACACCGTGGCCTGAGCATCTGACTGGGGTGCCAGGGTGGTTGGCCCCAGAGCCACTCACTCACTTGATGCCTGTTGCTGGGAGACCCTGGAGGGCTCACGCCACCGCTGGCCAAGGACGGCCTTGTCTTCAACTCCATGCTCAGCCGCACTCAGGATGCCTAAGCCTGGAGCAGAGTGTAAAGGGGGCATTGTGAGGAGAAGGACTCATGAAATCTCCAGGAAAAGTCCCCGTTGGACAGCCACTTAAAAGCCTTTCAACACAGCGACTTTGCCTGAGGCCGCAGGCCGAGTGCATCCAGGGGCCAACCCGAGTACGCGGTGCTAAGCTGGATGGAGGTGGGCTGGTGGTGGTGCCACCGTGTTGCAGTCTGGCTTCGCCCAGCCGGTGTTGAGCTGGGCCCTGAGGGCCTCAAGCTGGGCACTGCGTGCTGCTTGGACCATGCAGCACAGTAAAGGGCTGTCAAAACATGTGCACAAAGTCCCACTTTTGCAAAGAGAAAAATGACTTAGAGGGATGCCCCCCTGAAGTGTTAACCAGGGCAGTTGTGGGGAGGAGGGGCACACAGGGAATGGCTAGCATTTTCGTTTCATTTTTCATGTTTTGCAGATGTGCTCAGATACACAGGTGGTGTCCCTTCCTTTACAAAAAAAGTCACAGAAGGACAAATACTGTAGGACCCCACTCACATACGAGGTCCCCAGAGGAGTCAGATTCACAGAGACAGGAAGTAGCCCGTGGGGCCCGGGGCTGGGGGAGGGGTGGGAGTGAGTGTTTAATGGGGACAGAGGGTCAGTTTGGGGAGACGAGAAAGTCCTGGAGATGATGGAGGTGGTGGCC